CTTGTTTTATGGTCCTTCTATTGAAGAATAATAATATAGTGTGCTTGATTCTTTCAACAACATATTAGCTTTTTCTCTCGGTGTGTCAATGACTTGCATTTAATACACAACCACCACCATGCTCTATGGAATAGAAAGTGTTTTTGAAGCGATTTTGTATAATGATTTCTGATCCGTCTTTCAGAGAAACCGCTTCCCAGCAGATTGTGAGTGTTATGTGAAGATAAAAGAACTGATGACACTCACAACATAACACAGCTCTGAGCAGACAGAAGAGGAGGAACAGCGGGCATTCTCATCCAACATACCTTTATATACACTCTTTATTTGCTAAATAACAATAAAAACACTGTGTCCTCTGCTGTGAGGTGAACAAATGGATGTAATAACAGTAGCAATCTTGTGGAACATTAAAATCCAGATGCTTTGCACAGGACTCTAATCAACACCCTGTTTACAGACCAGTTTATACTGCTTTGTTTTGCTCACACTCAAATGTACACAAAGGACAAAAACTGAGAACAGCGGAGTATCAAGTACTTCAATTAAAGTATTGCTTTTATACCTCTCAGTTATCAGCCTGCGTTACAACACTTGCTGATCTATCTACCCCAGACTGCCCCAATTTATTTTAAATGTGGCTGGTGTTTTAAGGGTGTTGGTGTCAAAGTTACTGTCTTTTCCATTTGAAACTTGCTTTTTGTGTTTTTACGGGGTTTCACGGCTGAGCTACAGTAAAGAAACGACAAAACACAGGCAATTTCATACTAATAAGACCATGAATTGAGAAGAGAGAACATTTACTACAGGCTGCTGAGAGCCCTAAATTTGAACAGAAGAGATATATATTTTTCATACAACTATTAATACCATCCCCCATATTTTACATTAGAGTTAATCTATGAAGGGATAGTTAAATGACTTGCACAGATAAATACATTGAACCAGAACTTTAGATACACATAGGCTTGTTGGTATATTGTATATTGTAAAGAGGTGTTGAAACCCCCAGAACCTAGTGTGGTAATTCAGTTAAATATCTGATACCTACAAAAATGTTTGTCCGCTGCCACCAGGGGGGCCCTCAAAGAAAAAATACATTGTTGCATGTTGAATGTTTATTGTGTGTTTTAATCGTTTTAATACAAGTGCTTTAACACCAGTGGTGGATGAAGTACTCAGATGTTTTACTTAAGTAAAAGTAGCAGTATAAATACACAGTTACAACTTATGAATGTAGTGAAGTCACAATTATACAGTGGGCTTAAATGTAAATACTCTAATAAAGTCAATAACTTTAAAATTGTACTTATTTACCTGTGACTTCTTATACCCACTTTTTTTTTTTTTACAAATAAAATGTGCTCCCACAGATGTGTTTCTTATATTCGTAATTATTGTTTCATGTATAAATATAAAGTGTTAAATAATTATTTTCAATGCGATCAACTAAAGTATATATTTATCTATACAATGTACTACATTGTATAGATAAATATATACATATCTACATTGAATGTAGTATACGAATAGGAGTGAACCATGGATGTATTATAAGAACGGAGTGAACACATGGATGAATTGAACAGGTTGGAGTTTGGACCTCACCAATATGGCCGCTTCGTGCTCAGAACTTCGTCACATCCGTCTTTTGCTCAAAGTGAACCATCGATATCAACCCGTCGCTTCCGGTAATGCCTCCTTTTCGGCAGCGGCTATTTCCTCGCCAACATGCCAGTGAGTATCCACAGGGCGGTGTAAAATGACATTTATACCATTTAATGGAGTGTTGGAGAGCAACCACACGGCTCAATGTTAACGTAAACAGTTAGCGATTCGACTAGTGTCGATTCCAGAGGGTTTCGTTGTATTTTGGTCCCAGAATTACTCAAATACTTATCCACATTTGAGCGCATTGCGAGCGCATTGTGAAACAAGATGGCTGCGCACACATCGCAAACATGGAGCCAGTTATACGGAGGGTCTGAGCGGGCGTATAACCCTGACAGATTAACACTAACAGCCGCAATATCCTCCCATTTTGTTGTTGAGTGTTGACTTAATAAATGTAACATTGATCCTACGTTTATGGAGAAAACCCCGCGATGTATGTGAATACGTAACCTATAGTAATCAAAGTAATGTAGGCCAGCCGAGCAGTCTAACTAGCTTAGCCTGTTTAGCAGCACAAAACACCGCTAATGTTAGAGTTATCTGCTGTTATTTCAGGAAAGGAGTATATTTGAATGCAAAGTGTTTATCTTTTCAGCTGAACAAATATTTTATCTACAATAATAATTTACATTGACAAACCATTAACCTTCGTTCATGTTCCCCTCTTTCTTATCAATTTAGCTCGCAAAAGACTTGTTGCATCCATCCCCTGAGGAGGAGAAGAGGACGCACAAGAAGAAACGTCTTGTACAGAGTCCCAACTCTTACTTCATGGATGTGAAATGTCCAGGTACAGTTTTCTCCATGCAGATTCACCTCAGCAGACTTGCACCACTTCTGCATTGTCAATATGTATCAACATGCCTTTGTTTTGAAGTAAAATACCTGTCTGTTTTCTTCCAGGTTGCTACAAGATCACGACTGTGTTCAGCCACGCTCAGACAGTCGTGCTGTGTGTTGGTTGCTCCACAGTCCTGTGTCAGCCCACTGGAGGCAAAGCCCGTCTCACAGAGGGTCAGTACTTGCAATATTAACATCCTACACAATAATATTTACCTGCTGAATGTAACATTATTAAATGCAGCCTTTTACAGTTGTAGGATAACATCCAAGATTGCAGCATATATGAAATCAAAGTCCTCCAGAATAGGAATGCTCTTGTGGATTTATTCTGCCCTTAAGTCAATTAAAGCAATTTGGCTTCCCATTTTCGGGCGTTAATTACAAAAATATCAGTGTTTTCAAGGAGATGTAAATGTTTAATTTTGTGCAGAGCAATGTCTCATACATTTGTTAGTTTGCTGAAATACTATATATGTCCTCTAGGAACTCAAAATGTATAATCACCAGCTTCTGCAGTATTCATTTATTGATGTTATCATGTGATAGGAGTTATTTACTATTTGATTCAGACGCTGCTACTGTGAAGGATTGGCAATCAAGTGTTTATTGCTTGTTGCTCATGATGGAAATTGCTATAACTTGTCACTTTTTGAATCGATTTATAAATCTCAGCTGTATGAGTGGCAACATTTCTAACAGTTTTGAGGTTGATATTTGGCTGGCTCTTCAGGTCCTGAATAGGGGATATTGATCTGAATTGTGCTTTTATTGGACACATTTTGAAGCTTCTTTGATGCACTGCCAAGTGACTGGACTTCCCTTACCGTGGTCTTCCAATCTCATTCCAGTGCCAGATCAACCTCGGTTTGCAGAAGGGCTGAGCTAGACCACTGGCTCCCTCCTTTCGAAGGCTGAGAACACATAGCGACCTATTAGCTACTGCAGTGTTGGGCTAACAGATATTTTTCAATTAAGCTTTAAGTCTGTAATGTATAACAAAGATGACTCAAATGTTTTAATAATTAAAAAGCCAACAATATGATCAGATTATTAAAAGCAGGAAATCTCTTTGAAACTGGAAACAGCTTTTTTTTCCTTCATTCATGACAATTATTCGGTTATCAAAATGGCTGTGAATCTTTGTTTCCATCAATGGACTAATTGCAGTCTACATCGAGGTATAAAGATAAATCTAAACAGATAAGTTTCAAAATGTTTGGCGGGTTAATTTGATGACAGTCCTGCTGTCAAAGCTTCCTCTTTGAGCTGGTGTAGCATCAGCCAGTGTCGCTCCTCACTGGGGAGTGGGGACAACCTTATCAGTCACATGATGTGAAAACGATGACTCTGTTATTCCTGTTCTGTACAGTTTCTCTTTTGTCTCACCCTCTTTGTCTCCTCTCGCAGGGTGCTCATTCAGGAGGAAGCAGCACTAGCTGCTCTCTGAGCTGAAGGGGAGAGGAGGGGATGGACCGGTTGATATCAGCGCCACTCAACGATCTGATCTAAACCAGACCTGGAGACAGACTGGACAGCTGGGGATTTCCACTGTTCATGTCGAACGATCGGTTTTTGCTGTAACTCCACTCTCCAACCCTGTCTCTCTTAATAAAATATTGTTTTGGCTAAATGAATGGTTTCTATGGTTTATGAATTGTTTGTGCAAAGTCAGCAGTTTCTTTATGGAAAATAGTTGTTTCTCTTAAATGGCCTCCATGTCATTGCAGTGGCACCAGGTCAATGCACAGTTGCATTACTACACTGACAACTAGGACACATCCTTTTTTAGAATTTCACTTTTTTTTGTATTGACATTATTCCAGTTTTTTTTATTTAACATTTTCTGTTCTTTTCTTTTTTTCAAATGACTTCCAAGCACTCGGGTGTTGTGTTGTGTGAGGAGTGTACTCTGTCAACTAATGTTGCATTGATTTGGAGTCGTGGGTCACATTGCATGGATGCTATCGGAAAGAAGAACTATTAAAATCAATACACAAGGTTTAGTCCTTAAAAAACAGACACGTTTATTATATATTTAATATTTTTCATATTAAAATATGAACAAGGAGGTAAAGGGGTGGTGCAGAAATGGTCCTAAATCTGGAAATGAATCAGTATTTTACCCCTTCTGGTTGCCTTTAGTTGAAGGTTTTTTTGTTGTCATTCAAACACATTTGTTATGGTCCCTAAGTGAAGCCCTTTGATAAATTGCGAGGGTGTCAGCAAGCCGTCCTCTGACAACCGACCACTTGGTAAAATGCAGCTTGATCTGGAGTGATTGTCTGTCAATGTCCAACCAAATGGTTTTACTGCTACAGAAACGGTGCTACTTATTTAACTACAATTGTACATACTTCTGTACAAACTCAACTTTGTTATTCACATATTTGACACCATGTAAGAAAAATGTCCCAACATGATCATGTTAGCTGTGGGCCAATAACTCCTCCAGGAGCTTCTTTCTTCCTCCTCATCCCCAGCCTCTAGCTCTCTTCGCTCGCCCCAGCAGTATCAGTCTCCGCCTTCACCTCCCTCTCCCTGAGCAGGTGGCGGATGGAGGAGTTCTGCGTTGACAGGGTCCTGGACAGGAGCGGCATCAGGCTCCTGAAGCCCTCCCTCAGCTCCTCCACGTTCTTCTCCAGGCCGTGGATGTGTGTGTCCAGCTCCGCCCTGCAGCCCTGCACCTCCTCCAGCATGTCATACATCACTGTTTGCATCTGCATCGGGGTAGATGTCCGCATTGGTTTCATTTAGGTTCATGTAGAGAAGAGAAAGAAAAGGCATCAGGCGAATAATAGATGCTACTTTGAAAAAGTTTGTCCAGGTTGGGATAGAAGACGATACGTTCACCTCTCACTCTCACCTTGCTCAGATCCACAAGTGTGTTTCCCTGATCTGCAAGAATCCTCTTCTCTACCTTCACTCGCCGCAGCCTGGACACACGCATATTCAGATTTAGGTGTAATAAGAGGACAGTTAAACAATACTTATTTTATAATAAAATTATCTTACTCCAAAGAGTTTTTTACTAGCATCATATCCAGCTAATCATAACATTAGAAATAGCTTAGAAATATTGCTCAAATGTGAAAAATCAGTAAAACGAGTATGAGTAAATTGATTTCTGAATAATCGTCAACTCGGATATTAGAAAAACATATGCAATCACATGTAATTAATCACTGTAGTGGCAATTTCTTATGTTACCTTATATGCTAAAACCAAATGCTTCTAAAAGCATTGTCGAACACTACTGTACCATTTCCTGATATCTGTTTTCTCTGCATACTCTAATGAGGGTTATTATTCTTAAGCGCTTCAAGGCCACAGAGCTGATTTGGCAGACTATGTTGAAACTACTCCTCTTCACACAAAGTTTGAACTTCCATATTCTGATAACCATTACACTTTCTACAGCTCAAGGACACAGGTGTCTAATAAAAATATGAGACATCCGTGTGAAAGCAGATTTCTGAGGCGTTCCGCCGTGCTACACAAAAACTCTGTCTGCCCGCCCTATCTTGTATATAAGCTTTGCTATTCTGTGACTATTGCGCACACTCCTGCAGACTACCCTGTACTCTGTGAGACTTGTGCCTTCGAGGCGCCTCGAATAAAGAACCAGAAAGACAACTCTGTTTGTTTCACCAGTTTATTGATTGATCATTCTAATTGTATATCTGCACAGTATTGACTAGGTCTAAGATTTCTGTAACATCACTTTTTGAACTATTACTTTTTCAATGGACTGTTACTTTATGGTATAGTATACTATGTTTTTTAATGGCTTTTTTAAAAATACTTTCCTTAGCTTTTCTCTATGATAATTTTATGGCATACTATACCATTACTATTCTATGAAATGTCTATGGCATACTTAAGTATAACTTTTGAAGAAGTGTCATTTTATGTTTATATTATACAAAAACTACGCTTTTACTTTTTGAAAATATTATACAATGGCTTTCTATACAATTATTATTAAATACCTTTTCATTTCTTTTACATTAATGACTAATATTTATCACATACTATGACTTTGTTTAATAATCCTCAGTGGGATAATAAAGTGTGACTTTTTTTGTATTAACTTTGTCAAACAAAATACTATACCATAACCTATCTATGACATTTTTATGGCACTTTTATACGTTCTGTTCAACAGAATAAAACTAATGGCATTTCATAATAAAATAAAGGCACCAATGTAATGTATTGATACAAATATATACAAGTTTCTATAATTATTACCAAACATATAGCAAGTGAGAGATAAAGTGCAGAGGCAGGTCTCAGAGACAGAGAGAGTCTTACTGGTGGATGGCCAGCAGCAGCTTCCTCTGGTGCATGCGGACTCTGGACTGGTCTCTTTCTCTTGACAGCTTAGTGTGTTTGTAGATAAGCCAAGTCTCTCTCAGCACATTTGCTGCGGCAATTTTTATCTTGTGAAAGGATGTAGAAAATTACTCAGGAGTTATTTTATGTTAATGCACAGGACCTGAAAGTGCTGTTATTTACTGCATATGCTAAACAACACCAACATAACGTCTTTAAATCAGATGCACATTCAAACCTGTTCACCTCGCAAGTAAAACATAAATCTGCCTGTTGGGAGAGGTTATTATTCTAGATTTCCACCATGGTTTTAGGCGTTTTGTAATAATTTCCATGCTGTAAACAATTTGTATTGATTCATACTGAAGCAAATTAAACTTATTTCACACCGCTCACAGATTTTTACTTGCTCAAGGGATATTTGGGTGTCAATAAAAGGGAAATAAATAGAATATTGTTAACAGTGCACACAAAGTTCTGAATGTTGTAAAATAAGTTTAAATGTGCTATCTGGTGTGCGAAGATAAAACTGCAAACTAAACTTTTACAAGACACCAAAAATGTGTGTTGCAGAATCTCACTCACTAGTGGGATTATTCAATTAACATGACAGTAAAACAAAGCTGCACTATTTACCCTCTTGGAGATGTGGGAGTCCATCATGAAGTTGTGGACATGTTTCTCCGCTCTGGTCAGCTCCAGCTTCCTGGCGACCACAGCCACCACCAGCACCGTGCAGCCCGCTCCCTGTGAGCATCACACATTTAATATAATGATGTGTCAGAATCTGCCTTTCACTTATTATAGGAGAAACTGTCCGCTCACCATGATCCCAGTGAGGAGGCAGATGCTGCGACCGCAGTATGTGTGAGGCACCACGTCTCCATAACCGATGGACAAGAAGGTGACGGAGACCATCCACAGAGCCTCCATGTAGTTGCTGCTCAGGTCCCTGTAGTTGTGGTGTCTTTAGGAATAACAAGAATATTATATCATTAACATTATAAAATCTTCCATGGCTTAATTGAGTCATTTTCTGATGCTGATTATCTGACTGCTGTCGCTGAATAATTAATGACTGCTCCACCTTTACATCACTGAGGATTGTTTGCCTCACAACAGATACAAAAACTAATATTTATTATCCATTCAACATCAGGTGATATTTCTGGTTGATTATGTTGGAAAGAAGCTGATAATGTAAGAAGGAACATATGATGAGAATTTTTGCATGTGAAAAGATGCTGTGATGATTAAACATCAACAACATTGTGTTTTATTAACAATTATCTATTATAGAACAATTCTGAGAAAGCTTAAAGGTCCCCTATTATGCTCTTTTCAAACAATATATTATAGTTCTCAGATATAAACAATACATGTCTCTGAAGAGTTTTGCTCGAAATACCAAACAGATCATGCATTGTAGCATCCCATAAACCCCTCGGTTTCAGCTCTGTTTCAAAAGTGCTGATTCTGTGTCTGTTACTTTAAATACTAGTGAGCTGCTGCTGGCCACGCCCCTCTGCCATGTTTTGTTTAAAAAACACAATGGTGTGTGACTACCCGATTTGCATGTCTGCCCGATTTGCACTGCGCAAGCGCGAGCTGGTCTGCCATATTGGACAGCTACGTACGGCAATCCAAACAGGATATTTGACAAAGCGACGTTTCGCAAAGAAAAAAAAGAACCAACCGCATTAATCTGAACGAGAGAGATGAGTTATTGTTTATACAACGTAATTTCCCGATTATTTGAGAATAAATCCTTTTAGTGGGTTAAGTACATTCTTAGAATAAGTGAGAAATGGATTTAACTTCTGTTTGACAGCCTTCACACTTGAAAAATAAGAAACTGTAAATGTATGCAATCATTTATGGCATTCAATTATTAATATCTAATTCTTAACTGTGAATTGTTTTCATTTATTTAACATTAGACATGTATTAGTCTGGACAAACTTTTTCTGTTGAGATTCCTGGCAAAGGGAAATTACTTTTCATAAAAACAGTTGATTCAAGAACAAAACTCTGTTATTAGATCAGTACGGACGTCAAATGTCATGTTTGGATTGCCGTACAGCTGTCAAATATGGCAGACCAATTCGTGCTTGCGCAGTGCAAATCGGGCAGACATGCAAATCGGGTAGTCACAGGGTGCTCAAGGAGGAGATTCAGGTGATAGGGTGAGCTTTTACCTTGGTTGGTTATTGGCTAGGTTGCACAACCACAAAAAACATTGTGATATCACAAAGTGGCCAAAATCTGATCAGCTCATTTTCAGAAAGGTTTTTATATACTGTAAATGGATCTATTTTCCTGAAACTTTCCGAAATCCCTTAAAAGAGAGAAAGACACATATTTATGTATAAAAGACATGAAAATGTGGATTTTGCATAATAGGTGACTTTAAGTGGATATACATTTTATTAATTCCTTGATTGTTGCTATGTGCTAATGCGCACCACATTACTGCAACCAAAAAAAGTTTTTTCCTATATTATTGTCAGTTTTCTTCCCTTTGTTTTACATTTTTGGAAAAAAACGTTATATTATGAAAAAAAGAACAACATCAGGAGATATTTGATCTTGTCCGTGTCATCCAGCCAGTAAACATAAATACAGCAGAGTGAAACGTTGATTTGTTGGCTGCAGTACAAACATTTAAGTAATACTGTGTGTGCTATATCTGCTTATATTTGATGGTAATGAAATATGAAGGCCTTCAGCACCTACAGACAGACTCAGCATATATATATCATCACCCACCTCTCACAGACATGTAAGCCCCACGCTGCCACGATCCACAGAGACACGCTGAATATCATCAGCACCGTCCCGGGGTAGGTTGTCATCAGTGTTTTCCCCACAAACCGGGTGTTGAAGTGGATCTAAAGATCACAGACGGGATGCATTTGCGTCACAAATTTTGAAAAGAGGGGCCTACTTAGCCAGACTATTTAGGATAGCACCTGTCAGATTGTGATTATATAATACAGAGGAGATGAGGGATAAGAACACTTGTTCTCAATCTGGCTTGATACATGGATGGTAGGTTTGGCAGTGTGGTGAGGAGACAGAGGTCATTTTCATCACTCTTAAATAGCATTTATAGGGGAAGGGATTAGCTGGGTGCATATAATCAACTGTGGAAAAGAGAGCAGACAAGCAAAGGAGAGCCAGTGAGGGACATAAACCAGCATGTGGAACCACTGGGATTCATGGGAGCGAAACTGTGATAGCCACACCTCAATTGGCACACCTCTACAGAACCCTCGGCCCACCTGGACATAAGACATAAACAGATTTGCAGCAGATGAGATGTTCAAAGAGGAAGCCCAGCCGTAAGCACTGTCCAAAATATAAACTTTAACATGCCATGTATCAAATACCTTAGTTTACCAGTTTGTACAATCATGAGAACGTTGATTTTAAAGGTCCCCTATTATACTGTTTTTCATCAATATATTATAGGTCTCAGATATATTCAAAACATGTCTCTGAAGTGCTTGGCTCGAAATACCAAACAGATCATTGTAGCATCCCATAAACCCCTCTGTTTCAGCCCTGTTTCAAAAGTGCTGATTCTCTGTCTGTTACTTTAGATGAAAATAAGGAGCCCCTCCCCACGCCCCTCTGAGAGATATTTGGTTAAAAAGAACACAATGGTGCTCTAGGAGGAGATGCAGGTGATAAGGTGGGGTGTTACCTTGGTTGGTGATTGGCTAATGGTTACACAAGACAACACATCGTTATGACATCATAAAGTGACCAAAACCTGATCATTTCAGACAGGCTTTTATAGAAATGGATCAGGACAAAAATGAGCAAATCTTTTTTCCTGAAACTTTCAGAATCTCTTTAAACAGAGGGAGACACATGTTTATGTATAAATGACATGAAAAAGTGGATTTTGCATAATAGGTGACCTTTAAAGTACAATACTCAGCTGAATCCAGATCCTGCGGGGCGACCTCTCACCTTATTGAGCGCTCCAATGCTGCGGGATGCGGTGTCAGTGAAGAGGCGGCTGTGCAGCATCATGGCGCGGCCCAGCAGGTAGAGCCTGAGGAACATGGGCAGAGCCAGGATGATCTCCAGCTCCGTCTCCGACAGCGACAGGCGGGCGGGGGTGTGCTGGAAGGTCTGCTGGAAGTACGCCATCAGCCCCACCGGATAGGGATGAATGACCACCACCGACAGCTCCAGGGCTACCAGAGCCACACGGTCAGTCGTCAGGGCAATCCACCAATCTGCTGCACCAATGTCGTGAACATAGAGCTACCGGAGAGGTGGGAAGAGTCAATTAAAGTGACCCAAGATTAAACTGGACAAAAGAGACGGCTGTAGTCAATCTTGATGTATGCCTTGTGACCTAGATAGTGGGGTCACAGGTGAACAGCTGGGGGATTAGAAACAGTGGAAGCAGATTTGTTTTTAAATTGTGCCTGTGCGTCTTTTTTTTGTTTCATATTGACAAGCTCTTTTTTTTATCACACATTTAGTGCAACAGGCTTAGGTTTTCCATCTGTATGTGACAAACCAATATTCTATGGAAGACCTTTTTTTTGCCCCTACAACAATTACACAGGAACTTCACTGATTTTACACATCTTATTCTGGGGACTCGTCACAGGAAGTGCATATGTAGAAATTATATCAATGCAGAGTTCAAGAGGGAACTGCATGTTGAAATAAAATCTATTTAGATGAATGTCACTTAAGGTTATTCTGCTCTTTTAAAACTTCACCATTTTGAGTTACAAAACGTTTCTAACTCATAATGGTAATTTTTGCTTTCTCTTTGTAAAATATAGCATACTTCAAGTCATTCAGATGGCACAGCGTGAGTATGAGAAATATCTCCCTGGTTTGCTGTGATTGAGGGCATAGGTGGATTATTAAAAGATGTTATAAGGCCACCAGACTTAAAGGTTGGGAAACTTTAGTTCCTTTCAATTTGACCGGTTTTAGTACAGCGAGAAATGACTATCTAAGAAGAACAATCTGTAGGAGCATTGTGCCACAGTTTTAAATAATCATTTAAAGGTGGGGTATGTAATTTATTTCAGAAACACTTTTTGTTATATTCCATGGAATCCTCTTAACATCCCGATAGCAATGAATTAAATGCTTTGACAATAATTACATTAAAAAAAATGTCATCTGTGGAAGCCGTAGCGCTGTAAAAAGCACGACCAATCATTTGAGCTAGCCTGGCTAAAATAACTGGATGGCCTACCTGCCTGTCACCCTTGCATCTGTGCACAAACTCATCTCGTGCCCTCATTGGTGATGTGCACGTTCGTTGGAGGAGGGGCTCTGTAAGGAAGTCTGAACTTAGGAAGGGTCAGATTTTTTGCGGTTGTGTACTTTCAAATTCTAGCGCACTCGAGCTGGTTTCTTCAAAATTACATACCCCACCTTTAAATGTGAGAAAGTTTGAAGAAAAAAAACCTGATGCAAAATGAAGAATCAACAAGTTACCTGTATCTCACAGCAGTGATACGCTATGATGAGGCCCAGCAGGATGATCGTAGACAAACTGATGATGGACTTAAGTGAGAGCGAGTAGATGGAGCTCTGTGAAAGACATACACACACACACACACACACACACACACACACCACTCATGACATCATTGTCAAGCTGTCTTTACAAAGCTCAATCTATGAAATGGCCTCACTGATCCTCTGTAACCTTTTAATCTAACATACATTTAGATTATCCACTTGCATGATTTAATGAACATGATCTTATGGCACAGTTTGCATTTTCCTGCAGTTGTTAAGAGATCAATTCTCATACTCAGAGTCAGAATTGTGATAAAAAACAAAACTAAATCTGGAGGTTTTTCTTTTTTTCTTATACAGAGGCTTTGATTAAACTGATCTGTTTTCAGAAGAGATGTTGACTACACTTGTGCAGTGTGATATTTGATTTATTTTTGACTTTTGTCGACCTTTTTTGTCTCAGGGTCTTAGTGAGGATTTCCTATTTTCCTGACCTTGCTGTAGACGCTCCAGGAGAGCTCTGTCTCCATCACCATGAGCAACATCCCGAACAGCCCCACTGCCAGCGCGCAGTCGTTCAGCCGCTGCCTCCTCAGGAACAGAGCCCTCCGGTGCACCAGCCGCCAGCCGATGTTGTGGGTCTTCCAGTACGAGTCGTCTTTGCTCTCCTCCTTGTGCTTTGGGCTGGTCTGGGAATTGGTTTCGGGGTCCGGAGCGGGACCCTCTGCTCCTGGCAGAAGGCCTCTGCCCTCAGTTGGCTCCTGGCCAAGCTGGAACGTCTCATTTTGCAGTTCAAAGTCGTCATCTTTGCTGGTGATGATGATCTCTGGGAGAGTCTGGCGGTCGTGCATCTCCAAGGAAACGCTGCCCGAGGAGCGACGCCCTCTGCTCTCAACATCCTGAACGTCTAAGTGTGGTCTGCGGGGGCTCTGAAGGGGTAATGAACATGGGACGTCGGAGAAAGAGGTGACTTTCTCCAGGAGTCTCTGAGCTTCTGAGTTGTTGGCTTTGCACTGATTATTACACTCCTTGTGAGCTGGGGTCTGTTTAGTTCCTGTTGACTTTTTCTGATATTTCTTCTCTTTGCCTTTCTGTCCCTTCTTGTTGGCGCGAGGTGAAGAGGTCACATAAAGACGGCCGTTGTACAACGGAGTGGTGGCCATGGCCTGGGTTCTGTCCAGCCACACGGTGTGATCAGCTGACAGTTGGACTGTGTGGTGTATCCCACACTGAGGAGAGCAGGCCTGAGGGGGGGGGAGCACCCTGTTGGGGAGGAGGGGCCGCTGGTCCTCCATGTCCTGTCCATCCACCGCTGACAGGTTCATAGAGGGGGAGTGCTCCATGGTGAGAGGGCCTAGAGGTGACGATTCACCAAATCTTTTGAAGAGTTTGAACAAAGTAGGTAGAGAGGTTTAACATTTTAAACAGCAGGTGGAAGGAAAACTACAGCTACTCACATTTTTCACTCATTAGCAGCTTTGTCGTAGTATGCCAAACCATAATGGCTCATGATAATATATATTCTTAATTGTATTATTTTGTATTTGTCAATGAATTATTTATAAATATTTGTTTCAAAACACAGATCAATAGAGTTCTAGACACAACATGTATTGGAGAGATTGCTCAAAAATGTTATAATACTTTTTTTTATTCCTACCTTTTCTAGTCAGGTTTTCCAGTCTGCAAAACTGGTTTTTCTGGAAAGTATTTGAGTATTAAATCTTCTTACGGTTCTGTAGGTCACATCTGTCTGAGTCACAAAGGGATCCTACGTGTAAAATCCAGTTGAACTCAAAAACACCACCTCTAAAGGATGTTCAAAATGTAAAGTTGAAAAATGAAAACAAATCGAGCTTCAACACCAAGGCGCTCCGGCGGGATCAGATATCGGTATTCCAAATGTCCCCGCCCTGAATGTATGAACTTTCCAGCAATCCATTAGCAGCTTCAGCATCACGGAGCCCCTCCCAGAGATCCAAGCTGAGGTTACAAATTCCTCCTGCATATGACCACATAGTAGGTAAATACCCATGGATATCCATTACATTTTGAAGCATTTATTCCCTTGCTTGCCTGTGTACGTTTGTCCACCATCAGGGAATCTACCCTTAAGCTGGTGGGGCTTACTGACAGCAAAGACTCTGAGTTGCAGATGTTGCAGCAAAGGCAAAGAAACGTCATCTGTCCGTTTATTTTTGCGGGATTGGAAGATTTCCTCCTCCCTATGTGTGTGGGTGTTGAAATCAGCTTATAAATGGGTGCCCCGGGTCGGTGTCAGAAATCTGCTCTCACAGTCTTAAAGAAAAGCCATTAAATCACTTTTCATTTGTTATTTCAATAATTGCCTCAATTGTTATTGTGGGAGGATTGCATGGGGTTGTTATAGACTTTTCTGTGTGTTTTATTTTAAATAAATATAATCTTTTTAAAAAAAAAAAATCAGCAGATTATTATTGCAGTTTAATCAAGTCTGACATAGATCTGATACTTATGAGCTTATGAAATATCAAATATGTCACCCCTTAAGCGAACAATATGTACAGAGCAGGCTGGAGTATTAAAGTCATAACAATGACATTCAGCATCATTTATTTATATAAATCCTTGTGACAGATGGGTCTGCAGATAATAGAGCTCCCTCTAAACGGTAAGACCTAAGGAGCAAAGGGGTGGGCGGAGTGCATCCGGATAGTAGCAGGATGAAGCAAGGCATTATTTAATCTGAAGACAACATGTATTTAAAGATGGATCGAGGCTGAAGGAGGGTGGTGGGGGGGATGTGACAGCAGAGGTGGGAGAGCAAGAAAATGTTTGTTAGCAGACAGTCTGCCTTCCCTGCAGATGTAAAACACAATCTTTCTGCTTTAGCCAGATGCTGCTGTCTGGATTTTTAGATTCCTCGCACAAACAATGTCTGGAGGATGGTATTAAAATGTGAAGGAACGATTGTTATTCTGTTTCCTATCTCTCCAATGAATCATATTTTTGTGGGCCTAAAGTTGCTTTCAAATGAAATTAAACTTGGTAATGAAAGCTGGTGGGTTTATGTATGTTATACGGAGGAGTGCCGTAAACCATCTGGAATTCAGATATCTAGAATTTTCTCCTACAGATTTTGTCCAATCAACTTCAAATATTGTCATGTTCAAACCTTAATGATGAAAATTAAACAAATATTTATATTTCCTGGAACACCCTGCCATGTTGTTGTGGCCATTTTCAGCAATATTGAAAACAGCTTTGGTCTTATTTATCAAGTAATACATCTATTTAATCTATCAGTCTTGTTTGTTTGTATTTAACTAAGTACTACAGAAGTGTATGCAGTGATTGTATTATTGGTTCATAGGTTAGAGACATTTGATTGACCCATTTTATCAAGACATTTGAATGGACGATCAAAACGGGTCATTTGATTGCCCCATTGATACAATACATTTAATTGGCGGGTCATTTGATACGCAATGCACTGCAGCACCATCCGTCGTCCCACCAGCACCCCCAATGTGAATGGATGTTTTGGGACCTGCTCATCGCTTCTTGCATTTTCAATGTTGTTTTGATATTCTGCAGGCAGTGAGCTCCCAGCTGTCGGTGCCTCAGTGCATGACTGTCAACACAACAAACCCTTGCGGATGGCATTTGGTAAACAGAGACCATATCTCACATCCTTGCAGATAACTAGATCCTAAAATATGACTGTTTAGTCTGCTGAATTCACACTCACTCTGCTGTGGTGATAAAGTCTACGGACATTCTTAAATTAAGTTGTCCTTTTAATAACCAGACGCTGAGAGGATATATGCACATCTGCAAGCCTTCACATTAATTCAAGTCTCCAGCCAAGGGCTTGTAAATCCTGGCCGCTGTAGCTGGTAGCTAAGTATGTCAATTCCTCTTGCTTCTGTGGCCGGTAGCCAGCAGGTTTTCAATTAGTCCCTCCTATTGCAAATCATCCTTTGGCTGCTAAGAAAGTGAAAATAAACTGGGATATTTTGAGTCCACTAATTGCTCTGGCTGGTAAATGGCACATCTGATTCGTGCCCTGAATCTTTAGAGCACGCCAGTTTCATCTCCTGGTCAGGATATTAATTGCTTCAGTCTGACCTGTTCGGAAACATTGGTCAAAAGATAAGTCCCATTATGTAAACAGCAGTTATAAGGTTTGTGTTTTAAAGGTCAAAAGTGACGATTAGGGTTGATGGAATAGTATGACGTTTTGGGAAATAGGCATATTTGCCAAGAGTTAGCTAAGAGAATTGGTGCTACGCTACAGTGGTCTGCCAAGCCTGTTCCACATATCAAATTATTCTCATCATTTAGATAAGCTTTGAAATGCTCAAAAAGAGAAAGTGGAATCAGCATACAAACTATATACAAATAAAATGATAATCATTTGTTAGACATATGTCGTTATGAGAGCTAACGTCTTGAGGCTTAGTCTCTACTAGCATAAATCACCAACATTTCGGACCAAACGTCACAGTGGAGTTGGTATCTCCAAGAACATAGATCATGATTTGCAATTCAAAATGGAGTTAAGGTAAACGTTTCAGCCTCCTTTTGGTGTCAGGACTTGCAGAAGCAGAACATAATTGTCCATTAGGAGAAGTTAATCAACTCAACTCCCTTTAAGACAAAAAAGGCCACACAAATCAGATGTCACAGGCCAGTGAATGTATGTGCAGGTTCTGTCGATAGCACCCTATTAGGTGGAGGGGACGTGTCAGCGCAGGAGAGGGCCTAATCCAATCAGCAGAGTAATTAAAAACACACAGCACAGCAGCCCTGATGGCTGCATTGTCAGGGACGGCATTCAGCATTTAGCACAGAGAGGGATGAGCTCATGCCGGGTCAGGGAGATGGCCGTCTCCACTGCCGTGCAATTAGAATCACAATCAGCAAAAATAAATTAAAAGGACAGCAAATATGCAGAGTGGGGTCTCACATTGTGTTTTCAATCCTCACTCTCTCCCTCTTTATCTTCATTGAAATGGCTTTAATCCACACCTTGCTCAGTGTTTTAATTCATCTGTAATTATAATTAGTATTGTGTCCTAATTAGTGTCTTTACAGTGTTGGCATCTTTTTGTTGTTTTATTCAGCCCTGTCTATTCCTCGTTACTTAACACCATCACCTAACTCCTCCTGCCAGCTTTGCTGAGCTCCACCCAGCATGCAGTTGGGAAACAAACCACCAGATGTCACCCACACCTTAGTGCATCCAATCTGGTTTTTTTATGAAGCCTAATGAATTTTGGCGTTGGCACAGTGTCACAGTAGTGCTTGGCGCATAACAGCGTTGGGGATTTTTTTCATGAGATGAACTCAAAGTCCATTTTGCACACATTTAGGCAGCAGTATATCCGGGATGCAGCAGTAACAGGATCTCTTCTCGTGACACATTGTACGTCCTCGCTCCACACTTGATGCAGCCTTTCGTGGTTTCAACCGGTGACTTAGCCATCCTTCTCTTCGCCTCAGAGGGCCACTCTCCATCCTGTGTGTGCAGCCGAGCATGAATCTGAGGCTCGGGAGCGCTCTGGATGTGTGACAGGCTTCCTTGGAGAGGGGTAATTCTGAAGGGCAGAAGAAGTAATAGGGTCATCTATTATACAGTCAAACTCTTTCTTCCTCCTCTCTTGCCCCCGCCCCCGCCTTCCTCCCTCTCCTCCCTCTCTCCCAATCTTTGGTTTCTCGCTGCCTCTGTCCTTGCATCAGCATTTCGTGAGGACAAATGAGAAGTAGAGTTTAACTATGCACATTCCCGATGCCCTCCTGCAGAGCCCAGCACTTTCGCAATTAAACTGGAGTCCATCTCCCCCTATGATTCAAAACTCACCCCCCACTGAATGGGGGCAGCTCACACACACTTTGAAATACAAACTTACACACACTGTTCCAGTCTAGCAGTGCGTGACCGTAACCACTGGGGTGGGTTATTATGTGTAACTAAGCTGCCATATTTCATCCACCCCTAAGGCACAGTAGGAGATATGAAAAGGGAATGAAAGTATAACAAATGAGTATAACACATTGATTCACTTTGTACAATTGTCTGCTTACATGCATGGACAAAAGAGGAATAGAGACACAACATCCAGAGGTGATTCTTTCCCAAAAACAAAAATGTAAAGCGTGTCTGTCTTTTGTGCTCAACTACTAACAGGAAAAAGCATAACTTAAGCATTTTCCACTTCTCTGCATTGATTGGCTCGCCTTTCTTTTTTCTTTTACCCACCCCTCCACTTTCCACTGTTCCCGTATTTACCACACTTTATCAATTCATTCTCCATTAGTGTTTTAAATGGTGTGCATCATCCTGTTCTAATGTCTTGAAAAAGGTCAACTCATGGTGAGAGACCAATAAGAAAAAAGCATCTCCCTCCTCCACCCCCTGCTATATATTCAACCACCTTTAAACCCCCCACCCCTGACATCTTTTTCTCTTGTGCGCTCCATTTTAGTCCCACCTCCCAGGGAGACAGGGAGACAGGGAGACAGGGAGACAGGGAGAGAGCCCACAGCCACCATCTCCTCCTCCTCCTCCTCCTCTTCCTCCTCCCCCCTCTCTCAGCTCCCCGCTCTTCCAGCACACGCTCACACTCCTTCCCTCTGATGCCGACTGGATGCAGACCGGGGGATATCCAGCAGCTTCCTAACCCTCCCTCCCCTCCTCCTCCTCCTCCTCCTCCTTCAGCATCCGGAGCGTCTCCTCTTCATCCTCCTCTTTCTTCCTGCTCCTCACCTCCGGGATGTGGCACTCGGTGGCTCTGCTCCTCTCTGGATTCTTTGCTTTGATCCACGGTGAGCCCGATCGCCTCTCGCTCTGTCTTTCGTTCAGTTTCCAGGAATCTCAACTGCAGCCGCGGCACTTTAGGGAATGTATGTATGGTGTCAATTCTGTTGATGCTTGATCTATGAATACGAATTCAAAGTGAAAAAAAAAAAAAGACTCAGGGAGAAGAAAAGTGAGAATCTGGCTCACCTGTTTGCTTTCTTGTTTACATCTCTGGGATTACTGGTTGTTTTCTTCTGGATATATGTGCTGGGTTGACCTATGGGTTCTTCTGTTTGAGACGTTTAGACAGGTAGATTGATGCTGTGCACAGAGGCTGGTGACAGAAACAGTGTGTAGAAGAACCTGAGCAGTCATAACCTTTTATTGCTTTTCTCCCCCCATTCCACATGCCTCTCCTGGCCAGATCTGCATGTGTGACAAGGGGTTTCCCCATATGGAAAACAGGTCATAGATCAATGGAATTGTATGTATAGATCGACACTTCCATTTTGCCTCCCCTGTTGTGATGCAGCCAAGCTGACGGGGCTCGGAGCAGCAGGAGAGAATATAAAAGCTGTCAGCTGATGGCAGAGCTGAGAGGGTGAACTTTCGCTATAGGCCGAAGGACCAGCAGAGCTATTCTGTTTGTCTGTGTTTTCAAGAAGAATATTTACTACCAGAAAGTCCAACAAAAAAACAGAAAACAGGACAGACAAGGCACACGTTTCAGACTGCACTGCTGCACACTGAATTTTAAGATTTAAGGAAAGCTCCGGGGCTTTTCCATCACTTTGCTTCGATGACACCATCTTTCAATACCATTAGTGTGGGAACATTTCTGCCAACGCTCCCCTGGGACACTAAAGACTCTTAAACCCTGACAATTCCCATAAATAAGCATGGAACAAAAGACATCTTACACTGTTGGACAATGTCCCACATACAGTGTGTTCTGCATCTGCTTTGCTGTTTATTGAGGTCATAAAAACTGACTGAGTGAAATCCTCCAATCCGAGACCCCATTTTTATAATTGCTCCACTGTTGCACCGACTGGAGAAGCTGTTTTGAGCACAATTTCAAAATGATTCCCTGCACTTCAGCATAATATAAATGGTAGACATCTCTTGATCTCAGCATGGATATTACATGAGATGTGAGTTTGGATGGAGTCTGAATGTGTGGCTCACTTATGGGAAAGATAGAAGAAGCTTTAGTGATGCGACATACATTTGAATTTGGGCTTCACATTTTTGGTTGACAGTATAGTCTGCTTACCCTCCCTCCATTCATTCAATCAGTCCATCAATATCTCTATTTCACATGGTATTTGTATCATTTCAAACTAGCCTAGTTATTTGTGCCAATCATGCGCTGATGAGGTTTCCGACTTTTCCTACTTAGATTGTTATTCGCTGACTGTTCTCCACGCTTTCTCAAATATTTCTTCTGTTTGCCGATTTTATTCTGTGTTATCATTTTTGTAATACTGCTAAATAATTAAATCTAACAAAAAGGCTGGACCTGTCCTCCAGATTTGATTAGAAAAACTTAAAAGTGGAGATAAGTGTGACGAATGGAGGAAGATGGTTGTAGATCAGTTTTTTATTTCTGCTAATTTCATCATTTAAAGCTTTTTTTTTCTTTTTCCTCTAAGACTTTTATTTGTAGCCTTGTTAGTTGGTTACCTAAAGATGAGGAGGGCTACATTTTCTGATTAGATCAGCAACATGTTTTCATCAATTATATATTCATTGCCTGAATGTACTTCCACCCAAAAGTCTGATTTGCTTCCTGAGCGATGCATTTATAAGGTTTTCATGAAGATTGGTGTCATTTTTTTATTAATTCACTTCACAGGAAATGCTCACTAATTCTGTTAATAAGACTGTTACGTATCAGTGACCTAAACATCACCTACATGGGATTTTTATGGTGTAGAGTGCGGCTTGTTTTCACATATTTAAATGATCTTTTTGTCTGCCTCTGCAGTGTCGGTGCAGGGTCCTCACCAGAGGAACCTGTTAAAGAACCTCCTGAAGGACTACAACCGGATGGAGCGGCCGGTGGGCAACGACTCCCACCCGCTCACCGTTATCTTCTCCCTCAGCATGATACAGATCATGGATGTGGTAGGTGTCTACAGCCATGAACATCATCCAATCATTTACAAATATAAAATGTTCCTCTGCATGATGAAGCTTCTTAGACATAAAGTCAAGAATCATTTGCAGCCTTTAGTTTTGTTGTGCTAATCAATACCGATAATTAGCCCAAAAAGGGAGAATTAAAATCATAATTTACCAAGTAAGGCAGTATATGCCATAAACTGTAATATTAAAATGTCATTAATGAAGGCCATTACAGAGGACTCTGTTTAATTTTGCGAAGTTATTTATGCAGGTAACCTTTCTGTAACCTTTGTAAGGATGCTAAAAAGTGTACTACTATTTGCCTCATGATTAATGCAAATAATCTTTGAGAAAACAAAAATGTTTAAAATGTTTTGCAGGATGAGAAGAATCAGGTGCTCACCTCTAACATGTGGCTACGGATGGTAAGGACCCCCGAGACATAAGAGAATGAATTTGCAGCTATTAAAGGTTTACATGGTTTTTAAACAATAAAATACTGTTTTGATGACTTATAACAAGACGGAAAATAAATGACTTGAGACTCGACTTGGATATGAAAGTTTAGCTTCTAATATTTTAGGTATTTCTATGATTGATATGAATTATGTTACATTTAAACTAATGGTAGATGCAATTGAGAGGTTTGCCTGTACTGTCGTCCACTGGGATACAGACTGTATTTGTGTGTGTGTGTTTAAGAGTTGGTTCGACCATTATCTCCAGTGGAACCAGAGCGAACATCCCGGAGTGAAAAACCTGCGCTTCACCACAGACCAGGTGTGGACACCGGACATCCTGCTCTACAACAGGTAAAACACGCATAAACACCTTAACACACCTCTCACACATACACATTGTATTCCAACAAGTAGTGTCACTTCCTCCCCTGCCCTTCCTCAGTGCAGATGATGACTTTGACTCCACCTTTAAGACCAATGTTCTGGTGAACTCCAGCGGCTACGCAGAGTATCTGCCTCCAGGTGAGTCCCTCTCCTTTATTTATTCATTCCTGCTCTCACTATTCCTCATCCCTTCCTCGTCTCCCTTCGATGCAGCAGCAGCATATCAATTTTCGCTTGTCTCCCCTGTTTGTACATTTCACATCAATATTTCATAAGTATAAACAGCATCCCTGGTTACTCACTGGTTACACATTCCCAGCGTTGTGAATACCGCCTATAAATAGGATAGGTTTGCTTCCTCCATTTTCCTGTTTTCACACAAACGCAAGACCAGTGCAAGTGTGAAAGAAGCAGCTCCCCTGGGTTTCCACGGGTCTTTTCTGGGTCTTTTTCTTTATACATCAGATTACAACGGGCTGAGATTGAATCCCAAGGTTTAGAGGGGGTTCAAATGGAGTTCTGATGTAAAAGTTCTGAGGACTTCTCAGAGAGACACACTATCTATTGTATTCAGCGGCCATGTTTATTAACAGGCAGCTGCTGAATGTAATTACAGCTCCGTAATGCTGCGATTTGGATCACAGCCAATTAAGGAATGGATAAAAAGATATGTCTGCATTGGTGGAATATGGAGAGGGTTTTACTACATGATGGAAATGGAAAAATAATAGGCAGCAAACCAGCTATTTCAACTCCCGCACACAAGCCTGGTTGCAATTCCTGAGGTATTTTGTGGGCTGGTGTTATCAGGAAATATAAAGGCAACAGGTCTGTGGGTGGCTGGCATGGAACAGGAGCTTGACACACGGTGAATAATTCAAATGCGGAGGATCTCAGGTGTCTACAGCACACCATCACTTGCAGAAGAAAAACCTCTCACATCTGCAGAGGTAACGGTGTTATGGTTGGGTGTAATGGTATAACAGGAGGTAAGGCATAACAGGTTTTTAGCTCATATCTTGATTGTGTGACATTGGCAAAGGGAAAATCTTGTTTTCCGGGGCTTGTAATGCCTTCTTGGGAAGCGATTTTCAGAATGACAGAGATTTATTTTGGGAGCCTTGCTGTGGGAGAGGGAGATTATTCCAAGCTGCAGAAAAACCCAGGTGTCTCATTTGTGAGCATTGCTTCAAGGTTACTGGATATCTGTGAGAGGCATGGTACAAAACTCACAAGCCCACAGAACAACTGCTACCTGATCAGTGTGATTATGGGTTTAGTGCCTTCAGAGTTCATAACAGTAGTACATTTCCCCATGAAGCAAAGGCAAAAGCTTGGTGTCAGTTGCTGGATTGGAGGGTATATAAATATAGCAAGTACTTAATTTGATGTGATCAACCTCTGCTTTGAAGCCAGCCCTCTACCTGCTAACCTCTGCTCTCCAAAGTCTGCTTTGATTCCACTCTGAAGTCTGATTTGCATATCAGCCTCATAACGAATGTCTTTGAGCGCTGTAAGGCCTCATTGGCATTTTGGTTCTGCCTGCGTCTGAATGTTTGAACCGGGCTTTATCCTTTTATTTCAGTAATTCATTTAAGGGCCATCGTTTGCCAACGTCCACTGCGAGGATCTTCCTTTGGGGGTGGAAACTAACGTGCAAGCGCACCTTTAGGATTTTGTGCTTGCGTGTGCCTACACATATGCATTTGGGGGCATTTATTTTGCATAATAGAATTGGTAATCTGATTAGGAAGCGCACAGTCTCATTTCTCAGTGTCACTGTTGATGTGTTCTCCTTCCGCCGAGGCTTTGCTAACAGCTGTGTGTGCAGGCAGAGCGCAGTGACAGTGTTTGTTTGCAGAGCTAAATATCTGAAACATTGCTTGCTTTTTTTGGTAGACATTTCTTTGATGAGAGGTTGTATTAATCTAGTCATTGCTTTAACTTCTTCAGCCACCAAATTTAAAAACAGTGTATTGTTGGTAGACATGACCAATGTTAATAAGAATCATATTTCAGTGCATTCTCTTGGTTGTGATGCAGCAGATCCTTCAGCAGTTCTTTATGAAAATGCAGCGTGGTTGAGTTCAGTCCTTGAGCTGGCTGGATATGAAAAGAATGAATGAAAATACTTGATATTCACTGCAGGATTTCAGCAAAACACAAGTGGTCCACCGGATAATAGTCACCTCTGTACAGGAAACGGCAGGGGTAAATGTTGCTGTAATTTAGTGAATTGATTGCAGTGCTTTAACCCTCTGCCCCCTTTGTGTTGTCTGCTTCTCTTTTTTCTAAGGAATCTTTATGAGCACATGCAACGTGGACGTCCGCTGGTTCCCTTTTGACATCCAGAAGTGTGAGCTGAAGTTCGGCTCCTGGACGTATGACGGCTGGCTGATGGACCTCCAGATGAACGATGCTGACATCTCAGGCTACATGCCCAATGGAGAGTGGGACTTAATTGGTGAGTACAGTGATACATTTGCATTGCATCCTCATAAAACATCCAGCCACAGAGCAGTGGTCCATTCCTCTCTGTCCTTGACTGCTCTTCAGGGGTTCCTGGCACCAGAAGCGAGGCCTTCTATGACTGTTGTAAGGAGCCTTACCCCGATGTGACATTTGTTGTGACAATACGGCGGAGGACCCTGTACTACGCCCTGAACCTGCTCATCCCCTGTGTGTTGCTGTCTTCAATGACCCTGCTGATCTTTGTGCTGCCAGCCGACTCTGGGGAGAAGATCTCACTGGGTGAGTGGATAAAAAGCGCACGATGGAGGAAATACGTTGACAAAAGTAGAGCAAGAAGCTGGATACAGGAGGAGCTGTTGTTTTAAGCCTCGGGTTTTAACTTCGGGAACGAACTAGGTGCAGACCAGTTTGACCTTCAATGTGAGTCCATCATATCTTCATATCTAGAGTGATTCAGTGCATACATTACAGGACTAATTAGGATAAGGATTAAGATGACCTTTATTATCCCTGAGGGGAAATTCAGTTCTTCAATTGAATAAAAGGGAGGTGAAACAACCTCAGTCACCTTCACACGTTTGGGGAGGTGAATGAAACGAAGAGTTTTTTATTTTTGATAGATTACTCAGCTGAAAAACGCACCAACACTCCCAATATTCAACATCCAGTCATGAAAAGTTTGAATAAAATCTCCTATATGGCTCTCTATGCTCCAAGGTGTGAACGTTCAAGTATATACAGTAAAGCAAGACGGCCAAAAAAACCTAGCTTTCAAAACGTTCTTAGACTAAAGGCAACACAATGAAGCATTGGTGCAGAAGACTTTGCGGTGGGATGAAAGGGGCAAAGTGAGAGAGGGTGAAGCTGCGAGAGTAGAGGTATAACAGGATGAAATAGAAAGATGAGAAATGCGAGGAGGAGGAACAGAGACAGATGGGAGTGGGAAGGTAGTGAAGAGGGAGTGCAGACAGGAGAAGAATTTGAAAAGGATGAGACAGGACAGCACAAAAGAGAGGGGGACGATTGATGAGGAGGTAAAGGTGGGAGACAACCAATCCTCAATATAATAGGCTGGCAGAGAGAGAGGATGCGGTGGCGCCATTGAACAGCATCTGCAAATACATTTTAATATCCGTTTCAACGTGGAGCACAAGATGGATGATTTTCACATTATCAGTCAACGAAAAAAGAGACTACAGATTGTATGGCCTTGCATTGAAAGTAGAAGACGATTAATTGTATAGGCGATCAGCAGAAAAGTCTTGATTATTTTTATGTCAAGCTGATCCATTTTTGTGGGGATATATTTTAGACCTTGGTTGTGTTAAAAAAAATGACTTAATGTCAATGGAACAGAGAAGGACGTCGGGCAGCATTGTCAAAGCATATCTTTAACCTCAATACAGGATGCATTACGCAGCATTTCTCTGCAGAAAATAATGCCAAGCCTTACACACACGGCCAATTAACCTATTGGTGTAATTAAGGCTAGTGAATTGATTAGAGGAAGAGAGCTTACACACTGCCTTACTGGAAAATACTCTGACACTCGGGATGATGGAGGAGACACGGGACCAAGTGGCTGGGGTCTTTAGGGTGAGAGGACCATGCTTTTAAAAAGAATAAGTGTCATTTCTGAGAAATTAGGCATTATAAAAAAAAGCATTTTTTATTTTCTCAATATCGTTAAAGGACATTTATATTTTATCTCTCAGCATGAGTTTAATTGAATGCTTCTTTATGGGGACATTTATGCCAACAAAGCACTCGGTTGGATAAATGAGACAGATAGCGAGGAGAAATTGAGATGGAGATGAGTTCAAGGGCAGGAGCGTGTGAGTTGTGTGTGTTTGTGTGCACGCAGATGGAGTTTGGACAACACATTTGCTGTGCAGAAGTGCTTTTTGCTGTAGAGGTAGAGCATGTCAAAAATAATGTACAGTATTAGCAATAGCTGGTTATTTAAATAAATTGAATGTGATCTCATCCAGATTATGATGATTAATCAACAAACTAGACACACACACAAAATGTAGGTCTCAAAAGAAAGTACCACCATTGATGGCTTATGCAAATGTGGGTAAAGCATAAGGTTCTTATATCTATCTATCTTTCTTTCTGCAGGTATCACCGTTCTGCTGTCGCTTACTGTTTTCATGTTGCTAGTGGCAGAGATCATGCCAGCTACATCGGACTCTGTTCCTCTCATAGGTACGTAAAAGACAGTTTTATGCGTGTCTATATGTTCCCAAGTGGTTCTCATGGTCTTTAATGAGCATGTTGTTTAACTGTAATTATGAAACTAAATTCAAACCTGCACTAAGGCTACAATTACTTTGAGTGATTGTCAATATGAAATCAAGATGTTTTACTTCTTTAAGATACAGCAAGTTTCCATCTGACAGCGAAAATCAATATCTGGCCTTGAGTGTTCATTTTTTACAGTAGTGATTTGTTGCGGTGTACAGTAGGAACTAGCTCCTGGTTGAACTCTGGTGGTTTGTGTACTAGCATGATATCAAGTATTATTCAGCACAAAATACAGAGCTAAGGCTTATGGGGATTAGTTAGTGCTGTAAACCATATAAACAAAAATGCAGGACGCATCGGGACTCTGACTTGACATTACACTCAAAACCACAAACGTCAACATTGTGGAGGCACGACAAAAACAATCAGGGGATCATTAAAGTCATCGATATTTATCTTCTTGGCCCTGAGGAACACCAATGACTGTATATAATTTTCTTGGCAATCCATAAGATAGTTTTTAGTCTGGACAAACCAACCATGTCATTTATAGAGCTACACCTGCTAGAATAGCTTAAAATCCTGGGTTTGTCACAGAGGTCTTTAGAATCGGTCCTACACAGTGGTACAAAGTAAAAGCCAACAGAATTTCTTTTGCCATCTGCTTGCCTTAAAAAAAAAGTTATAGTCTAAATTGATTGCAGGCACGCATGCTGGGTATTATATTAAGAGAACTGGCTGCAGCCAGACACAGATGTGTCTGTCGTTGCCTAAGGACACAAATCCTGGTCATTAAAAACTTTGGAAAAAATAAGTCATTATCATCAGAATGCTGCTTTCAGCACAGATCTTTTCATTAATCAATCAATCAATCAATCAATCAATCAATCAATCAATCAATCAATCAATCAATGTTTATTTATATAGCCCAATATCACAAATGTTACATTTGTCTCAGTGGACTTCACAGTTTGTACAGAATATCAGTATGACAATACGACACCCTCTGTCCTTAGACCCTCACATCGTACAAGGAAAAACTTCCAGAGAAAACCCACAGTTTAAAGGGAAAAATGGGAGAAACCTCAGGGAGAGCAACAGAGGAGGGATCCCTCTCCCAGGACGGACAGACGTGCAATAGATGCCGTGTGTAAATTGAAAAGATAATACATTTGCAACATAGGTAGTCCAAATGTTTGGAAATGCATGTGTGTATAATAGGAAGATGAATCCACGAGTATATCCATCCAGGACTTATGATCCAGGACCACAGCCACGACTCAAGATCCAGGACTCGCAATCCATGACACAGGACCGCAGGATCATCCATGACTCCGGATCCCGGCGTATATAGACACCAAAAAGAAAGAAATTTGGGGAAGCTGGGTTAATCGGAACATGAGAGTACACAGGTACAGACAGAGAGAAGGAAGAAGTAAGATGTCCCCCGACAAACTAAGCCTATATCAGCAAAACTAGGGGCTGAATCTAATCAGCCCTAACTATAAGCTTTATCAAAAAGGAAGGTCTTAAGCGCACTCTTAAAAACGGATAGGGTGTCTGCCGTCCGAACACAAACTGGAAGCTGATTCCACAAAAGTGGAGCTTGATAAGAAAAGGCTCTGGCTCCCATTGTACTTTTAGAGACTCTAGGAACAACCAACAACCCTGCATTCTTGGAACGCAATGCCCTAGTAGGACAATAGGGTATAATGAGTTCTTTAAGGTAAGATGGCGCCTGCCCATTAAGGGCTTTGTAGGCGAGAAGAAGAATTTTAAATTCTATCCTGTGTTCTATAGGGAGCCAGTGTAAGGCAGCCAGAACAGGAGTAATGTGGTCCCTTTTCCTAACTCTGGTTAGTACACGAGCTGCAGCATTTTGAATCAGCTGAAGCGACTTGACTGACTTCTTGGTACACCCTGATAATAAGGAGTTACAATAATCCAGCCTTGAAGTAACAAATGCATGGACTAGTTTCTCTGCATCGTTTTGAGGCAAGATATGCCTGATTTTTGCAATGTTACGTAGATGATTAACTAACCTGATGCAGTGCATCTGTTTGTTGATTTTAAAAACACTATGTGGCTTCTAGCAGGCAAGTCGTGTCGGTATCAGGTCCCAAATTGGCCTGAAGGAATTAAACAAAGGATGTGTCTTTTTGAATGAAATAGGGAATTGATTGTTATTGTATTGTTACAATTCATTTTATTTTCATTTATCCAAAGCGACTTATAATAAGTAAGTGAATTAAACATGAAAGGGTATTTTAAATATAGCCTAAAACAAAGAGACCTTCACTGGTCTGTGCGCCAAATCAGAACCTACTATGGCCACTGTGGCTGTCAATAAGCCAGAGGGAAATGATGTGTATTAGCTTAGGATGTCAAATTACGTCATATTTCTGTTTCTACTCTGCCCAGGTCAGTACTTTGCCAGTATAATGATCATCGTTGGGATGTCCGTCATGGCCACTGTTGTCGTTCTGCAGTATCATCACCATGATCCAAATGGAGGAAATATGCCAAAATGGGTGAGCTGTGCTCAAAGTCTTTATCATAACCTCAAGTGCATTATTACTTATACATCATGCTTTCCAGCTGGTTAAGCACTATAAATTGTTGTCTCCCATTTCCATCCATCCATCCATCCGTCCATCCGTCCATCCATCCATCCATCCATCCATCCATCCATCCATCCATCCATCCATCCATCCATCCATCTTCTCCCGCTTATCCGTGGTCGGGTCGCGGAGGTCTCCCATTTCAGATAAGATATATTCATATTATTAATCTCAATTTCCCATCATAATTCGTATCATGCGCTAACATTTTCAGCAACACTTCATCCATCCGTCAGTGCTACCTGTTCCCTTCTGCCAGTTTCCGCTCTCCACTAATTTCCCGACTTCTTCGGGCTGTGACTCATCGCGGTGTCAGACTGCCTGAGCGTGATCATCAAATGCCTTACAACAGACTTCAACAGGAGTGTGTTTCAAAGTGCTTTAGATATGTGGGCGGATGTTATTTGAATTTTTCTCTCATTCCTTATATTTAATGATTAAAAATGCATGAAGCCTTTTTTTCTTAACAAAAGTTTTGTTCTAATGCGCACATAAAAATGTCAATCGTGGAGAAAACGTGAAAACATGGTAGGCTTCATTTAAATGATTAGCAAATGGCTGGTTACCAAAATAATATACATTTCCTGTAATACTATTCAAATTAAATATAGGAAGGCATTGATGGGCATTTCAAAGTTGACAGGTCCACATTTGTCGATACATCTACAAAAAGCTTTGTTGCACCAGAGTGCAGATGCCGCATATATCGACAGATGGAAGGACATTAGGTTGATGGATGGCCTTTTCAGGCATTCTGTCGGCCAATTAACAAGCTAATTGATGTGGTTCAGATGAGTGCATCGAACCAGCACAGTTCATAATTACAATTGCGGACAAAAACATCAAAGGCAGCAGCAACAGGGACTGTTACCTGGCCAGTAAACACACTAGGTGGAAAGTAATTGAGCAGTCATCTGGACATTAGCTTCTCATTAGATGCCAACCACCCATCTGGATGCTGTTGGGCCAATATGCCCTTTTAGGGGACATGCAGTCTGTTTACAAGGGAGTTTTGTTTCAGGGTCTGTAAGAGGAGAAAAGAGGAAACAAGCTTTACATTCGTAGCAACTCGCGAGAAGCTTATCTTGCTTTAAATGTATGCTGCAGTCTATTGAGACATTACCGAAGGCTCAGTGCACTGTAATCTGACAGTGAATCTCAATAGTTCCCCCCTTTAAATTGAATGCTGTCTTTGTAAGTATCCTCTTGCAGGAAATATATTTTAAGCTAAAAATCTTCTTTGCCTCAGGCACTTTAACTGGGAGTCCTAGCGAGGATTTGATACTTCTACTTATACAAGCACTACTGCATTATGAAACAAGATGCAAGGGGGGGAACAGCACCGACCATCAATCCAAGACAAATGAGGCTGTTCCCCCATCTGAACTCGTGTTATTTGAGGGTCAAGACGTGTAGGTGGTTTTCAATGCTTAGTTACTCTCATAGCTTTACCGCTTTTTTTCATGTTTTCTTTTACCTTCTTTAATGCTTTTGTGCTCTTTGACTCTTCTACTAGCTGTCCACCACTCTCATCTTTAAATGTTTTTAGCCGTTTTCTCATATGCAGTGGACACCAGGAAAATCACTGTCCGTAGTTTCCCTTTTCACACATGTAGAACACAACAGAGGATTGTCCGTGTCACACGTGTACTCAGTTAGCTTCAGGCAAGGGTTGGCACCAAGGGAGAACGTGTAGGAGGCATGCATTGAGTCGGATTACACCGGGGGCATATTGCCAGTTTTATAATTTGGACAACTGCATCTCTTGTTGTTCAATTCATTTTCATGACAATTTTAGCATTGGCCCTTACATTCAGACGTTTCCAAATCTCAATCTCTCTCTAGTTAGAGATTTGGTGAGCGTTTTCCATCCAAACATTTGCATTACGACATAAAGCCCCTACGAGTAATGTCTAATTTCATGGTTGCAGTGCACGTGTGAAAGAGGCTTTCTCTCTTCTTCTCTCTATAGGTGCAGCTGGTCTTGCTGCAGTGGGTAGCATGGTTCTTGCGTATGAAGCGACCAGGAGAGAACGATGACCCAGAACGCCCCCCGTGTGCCCCCCACTTACGGCGCTGTTCCTCGGGCTCGCAGACCGGGAGCATCACAAATCCACAAGACCCCACCCTGCATCCGCTGCACCCACAGAACCTGTCTTCTCTGCACACAGGGCCTCTCCACGCGGGGCATCCTCACCTTCATGCCCAAACCAGCGCCAACAACAACGGGAACCTTCTTTACATGGGCTACCAGAGCATGGAGGACCCTTCAATACTCTCAGAGCCTCTCCAGAGAAATAACATGTCTGCAGGGCCTACACGTGTGGCAGGAAGCCCGCCTCCTCACCTCCCGTCTCAGTTCTGCAGCTCCCCACCACCTCCTACCCCCAACATGGATACTGTAGGCTGCCCCAGCACAGTCTCCAGTGGGGGGGGCTTTGGAGGTGGAACCGGAGGTTGCTTGAATGCAGGTATCGGAGACCCACAGTTACAGGCCATCTTGGAGGAGGTGCGTTACATGGCAGACCATTTCCGGGAGCAGGAGGAAACCGAGAGCGTTGCAGACCAGTGGAAATTTGCAGGCGCTGTGATTGATCGTTTGTGTTTGGTGGCGTTCAGCATTTTCAACATAATTTGCACCATCTCTATCCTCATGTCTGCTCCGAACTTTGCGACTGCTGTTTCAAAAGACTTTGTATGAAAGCAAAAAGGAAAAAAGATGAAGAGAAGCGTGAAGGAAAGGATGAGGGAAATGAAATATAGACTGAAGAATGGAGTGGGCCCGGATCCAAGGAAATACAATTTCCCGCGGACTGTAGGCTCTGTGATTTGTGATTGCAAGGAACTCGAAAATAGAAATAAAAAAAAAATGGTGTTCTTTGCAATACAATACTGTTTTGTAACTGAAATATAAGAAGAAAACAGATAAGGAAGGGAATACAGAGTATATGTTTAGGGTGAGCAGGGTGCTTTATCAGATTCTTGACAAGGTGAAATTCATTCTTTTGTTAATTCAAAATATTTTCCTGCAAAATAAGGGGAACAAATGAGTCAAAAAAATAAATAAAGAACAAGATCAGTCCAATGCAAACCTCAAGAGAGAAAGCTCTTAAAGCACTGGAGAGATTGAAAGAGTAAGAGGGAAAAGCGACAGGCAGATATATAGAGATGGATAAATAAGACAGACATTGGGCTGTATTTTCTTAAAGAGGGAAGACAGTTCTTCACTACCACTTTTTGAGAACGGACTGCATCATTTAAAGTGATGTGAGGAGGAGAGGGCTGGGGGAGACGAGAAATATTTTTACAGACGAGAAAAGAGTGAGTAACTAGACTTCATCTCTTGTGGCAGAGTTAGGCGGAGTAAACAGCGTGATGCCTGGATATCCAAAAGTTGATGGAAGATCAGTAAGCAGAGAGGAACAGAAGAGCATCTTATCTATTCAATCGCATCCATTTAATGACCGTCAAATTGAAAGACCTTGGGATAATCTTTAGGACTAATAAGCTTTTAAAGGATGAAGTCCCCTCTCTGCTTGAAAACCACTTTACATTTCCAAGGCCTTATCTCTTTGAGACGATTGCCAATCTGCAACAATCAGCAGAGATCAAAAGCTCCTCAGCAGCGGGCACAGCGTGGAGTGCTTATCACGACCGGGAAACTGAATTAACCGGTCATCAGCAGCGCAATGCCAAGTAGCTGCACCACGGTGGAGGCTTGAGCCAATGAGAACTGGGGGTAGTGGTGGTCTAATGGATAGTGAGGTGGGCTGAAGGTCGGAAGGTTGTGAATCCCGCCTGAAACACCACCACTAGTGAGCCCTTGAGTAAGGCACTTAGCCCTTAGTTTCTCCAGGGAGAATGTCCCTGTAATCGGTAATTGTAAGTCGATTTGGATAAAAGCGTCAGCTAAATGAAATGTAATGTAACTCATGAGGCAGTAACCGAACGGTCCTATTGGATTTCAAATTAAACGTTTCATAACTGCAATGGGCGGTCAGGTCTTTAAAAGGCCCAAGAAAGGGTTAAGATCATGCAAAAACCCTCAAATGTGTACGGAGAAGCAACATCCAATCACATTTCTGTCTGAACCCTTCAATGGTTTTCAGATTCTTGAGTGATTCATATCTACCCAGAATGAAACAGATGGGAATTTTACAGAGCTTTGCTTCGGTTAATTTCAGTACAGTTGATTAACAGGATTGATTTCAGAGTATGGCCTTCAGCTACAGAGCATCTGTAGAAATGCGGATACCAAAAAACTAAATATGTATTTAATTAGTTTAGGTTTGAGGGGAATTGTGTAGTAGTATTAATGTTTGCTGAATGGAAGGTGGACTATAATTCATGGATGTACAAACAGTAGGTTTAATGTTAAAGATTTCCAAGGATGACTGTCAAGTTGTATTACAAAATTACAATGAACAGAGCAATTAGTCAAATGACAAACCTCATTATCTCCATTCTTTGTACTCGCTGAAGCTTTTTCCAAAATCATTCTTATTGAACTATATTGACCTTAAGCTGAAGTGAAGTATGTGTGGCACGAGTTAATAAGAGAGTGAGTTTGGACACAGCCCAATATTATAAGAGAAGGATGAGTCATTCAAAAATGAAGCTTAAAGCGAAATAGATCCAGCTGAAAGTGTACATTTAACAACTCTTCTCCGTGCAATTCAGCACAGGTAATTGCTGAGTCTCTCAATGTTCAATTAACTCCAAGAGAGTGTAGCTCTCTCTTTAATATTAGTTTTCATGTGGATAGCTATTGTGCACATTCACTGAAAATAAATATAGAATTGTCAGGAAAACATTTTCAACTGTAGGATTTTTCTGTATTTGTTCTGTGTCAATAGTGGTATATTGTGTCATGCACATGAAGGTCCCCAGCCTAAAAATCCCCTTTAAATAACATATATACAATGTTTTACCAATAATTTATGTTTTTCTACATTTGTGTAAGTTTTGAAACACATGCCCTGAAATTAGCAAAGTAAGCTAAGCTTTTTCTTTTTTTGCCCGACAACTACATTTCCTCAAAAAATAAGCCTTTGAAGAGAAGACCGAACTTATATTTTTCATATATTCCAAAAATCCCATAAAACAACTTAAACCTACAATAGATTCAGCCTCTCAAAGCTTCCCTACACGGCCATGGCACAGATCCTCAACCTTAAATGTTTACAATGCAGAAAAACTTAGAAAAATGTCACAAGTACAGTAGTCAAACTGTTTTTTTTGGGACTATTTCCAGCTGTGGATTAATACAAATCGGTGATTTAGCGAGTTTTTTTGTGTGTAGGATGGTAATTCACTACAGTGGCCATTTTCATTGAAATAAAGTATAATTTTACCCAGTACAACAATGTGGCTCATTAAAGTGATAAAAACAATGGAGGTCTTAGGAAAAAAGCTATATTATGCTTCGGTCACACAGTCAACACTTGTTAAGAGAATAATTGTGCCGTAGGTTTTGGTATTTTTATGGGATTTTATGACAATTAGTTAAATGTACAATATCTGCAGATTCTTCTTTAAGAAGTCTCTCTAGGTTTTCTTTAACACATACATCCAATAGTCTTAATGAGTTACCTACATTCCTGATACACTATCACTAGTGAATTTGCATATGTATTATTTCACTCTGAACTGCTACATACAGGGTGGAGAGTGTTGTACAATTCTTTATATATTTTTTTCCTTCATTTTCTGTCTTCTCTCTCGTGTTCTAAAGTTTCCTAGCAGTCAAAAAGTAAACTTCTTGCCGGGAGGTTTTGTAGAAGGATGTTGTCCTTCCAGCACATACTGACAACTAAACACTCACATCTGTACAGAACATTTTATCACCCTGAAAATAAAGGATTGTCTCATTTTTCTACCACCTTTGGTCTATTCCCTGTCTCTCTGATTTGACAGTGGCTGGCCCAACACCCAAAAAGAAGAGAAAAATGACAGAGAGAGGGGATAGCAGGGGGAGAGAAAGTGCTGACGCGCTGTGAGAGCTGGACAGGGCCTTAATTGATCACTCGTTCAGGAAGGAGAGAGGGAGGGGGGGAGGGATGAGATGGGGAGGCAGAGGAAGGGAGGGTTAATGGAGGAAAGAGGGGGGCATACTAGGTAATTCATCGGATTTATGAGGGACAGAGGCAGCAGAGATGGGAGCTCAGACAAGCGTAACTCAGTCACATGCATCAAATGAAAGGCCACTGCAGTATATCACACAAAGGGAAAATATATACTGCAGAAATAAACAGAAATTAGAGACATATTTTCATGCAACCATATGTCAATCAAGTGTGGGAAATGTGTGTTGTCCTCAGTGTGTCACTCACTCAGTGAGCTAGACAGTCAGAGGTGTATTTATAGTGTGCTGCCCTTCTTTAGCCCCGCCAAGGCCCCCTGTTCGAAGAGCTGACTCTTTTTCTCTCCGAGGTCGAAAGATTTGCAGCGCTAGCAATCTAGCAGCCCTTAGATTTACTGTGTTCACTGAGATGGAATAAAAGAAGAGTGTGTGAAGATTGTGCGTGTGTCCATGGGAAAGATGAGCCTCGGGGTCTGAGTACGCATAGAATCAATCAGTTGTTTTTCTTTTTCTCTCCCCACAATTCAAATATAATAAGAGCAGGCTGACCTAAAGCTTTCTCCCAGCCCTCAGATATTATACCAGATGGTTAATTTAACTGAATATCACAGGAGGCACATTTGGGCATCACACAGATCTATTGTTGTGTAAACAGGGTGGCGACATAAAAGCTAAAAAGATGCCATAACTGCCAAGTATACAAATGAACTTGAAATACACATGGACACAGACAAAAACAAAGCAATCACATGCAAACAAACACATTGATCATGACCTGCATTAAACATTTGCACAACACTTTAACAGCAGGCATGTTGAACAACATATTCAGGTGCACCCACCCCTGTGCATGCACACCTGTTCTGTCCGAGGGTCCCCACGCACTCTGCTGCAAGGAAGCTCCCCGACATCTTGCGGCTGAGGCCGATCAATGCCTTTTAATTACCAAGGGCCCAAAGTGTGGGTCGATATAGCTGACGAGAAGCAGAGAGAGAGAGGGAGGGAGGGAGAGAGAGAGAGAGAGGGAGAGAGAGAAAGAGAGGGAGAGATGGTCCAGACGGTGATGGATGCTCACTCCTCCCAGCGAGCCTACCTACAGATGTGTCGTTAGGCTTGATTAATCCTGCCAAGCCACATTGACTCACTTTACAGACCGCTGTATAACCAGCCGGGCCGTCGCAGTCGCGAGGTTAAGTGGAGACGAGGTGTCCGACCTCAGGAACACCGACCTCTTAAACAATATGTCAATGGTGGCTGTGACTCCCTATGGTACGAGTGTCGACAAAACTACTACTTTTAAACTCTGAATAACTGCACATACATTCATTCATGAGGTTCCTTAAAACAAATGTGTACTCAGGGAGCGGAAAGCATTGGCAAAGGCATATATTCAGTTACTGTGGTTCTTTACTCTCTTTCACAAACGGGGAAAAATCAATACAGTTTTATCTACATCGCTTGCACAGTGAATTATGAACTAATACTCATCTGATCATTAATTTCTTTAAAGTTATATTCTATTTTGATTCATTATAATTGGGTTGACTCAAAGGATGATGAAAAAAAGAAGGATAAAGGATAAGAAAACAATTGTTTTCACAGGGTGAGTAGAACTCTTCCTGCTGAGTATAATGTGCAAAATTGTGAGCCCCTGTAATGGTGCCAAATTCAAATGAGGGAAAAAGAGTGAGCAAAGTCATGGTTGAGCTGCTATGCTTTTAATGTGAGGAAACTCCAGATAAAATGCAATCAGACTGGAATAATCACGGAGTCTTATAAGGAGGCTTGTTATTTTATTTTATTCTGTTTATTTCCCTCACAATTATAGAGGTACAATAAATCATATCAAAAGCGTGTTAATTAAAAACTGATAGAAGCATATGTTTTGTGCTTTATGGAGATGCACAAGTGCTGTAATTTGATGCAACTCCAGAAACTAATATTATGCATAAATGCTCATATCAATTTCATGACACACAACTAAAGTTTGTGGGACATATTTATCTTACACAACTCACTTGTCCTTAGTTGCCTTATGTTGCAATGCAGTGCAACTCAATGGACAAAAACAAACAGGGATAATCCAGGACAGCCATAAAGGGCGTTAGGAGTCAAGACTTGAAGCTGTTAAGCCTTTTAATTATACATGGCATAATTATACAAGTTTGTTATATAACACTATTTGAGATTTCAGATATTCCTATCCTGAGGAGGTGAAAAAAGCAGCTTGGATGAGAAATAAACAAGCAAGTAAAAATAAATCCGACAGTTTATGAGAGTCTTGAGAATGGCATGCTGCAGACACACACAGTTTTCACCAAAACTCAACACAGATGCATATTTAGTGGATTTTCCCTTAGGTGCTACAACCAGATAAGCAGCCACTCTAAGGATATGGCAGGGGCAAAAAGTCGACTATTCAGTAGAAGTACTAAATTAATGAGAAAAGGGATCACCTTCTCCCCACTACACGTCAAAAATATTCAACCATTGCCTGTTGATGTTTCTTAGGTCTTGATTCTCTGCTCTAACTTTAGACTGTTCACTGACAAAAACTAAAACAGATTAAATGATGCCGGTAAGGATTGATTCAATGTGCATCAGCTGGGTTTATGAAATGTATTTCTCTAGTTCTTTTTAAAGTGTATCTTTCGACTTACTATAGACATATTGAAGGTGGTATGTTTCTACTAAATGTAGCAACACCAAAGCGTTAATATATTTGATAACAACAAAAAGTCTTACATTCAAAACAGAGCTGCAAAGACGAATCAATCAGTGGTCAAGCATTAAATAAATAAACTCAATTAATTGATTTGACTACATTTTTGAGAAAAACAAAGTCAGGATTCCAGGTTTTAACATGTGAATATTTTCTGTATGTTTACTGTTCTCTGTCAGAAGACATAATACCTTTGATTGTGGACAATTCAAGACAGGGGATGGAATATTGGGCATTGAAAACAAGGATAGACGTTTTTCACAATTCCATTCCATTTTATAGACCAAACATCTAATCGGTTGATAACAAAATTAAAGTAATTGTTGGTTTGAGGACTATTTAAAAATGCCCCTCAAGCATAAATACAACAGTACCATTAGTAGGTGGAAATAGCATCAAGATTAAAAACCCTATTTGGGCATTGTCTTACTGTGAGAAGGAATGTTAGCATAAAGAAGCATAAAAAATAAATACTCTAGTATATTTCAAATTAGTACTTCATTTAATGTACTGGTTCCTTTACTCTTTTCCGGTTTTAACCTAGAAGTTTTACACATTTTGAACCGCAAATCCTAAAATAAAAGCTTACTTGGTATTACCCTATATCAAAAGGTGTCCAAACTTTTTTCACCGAGGGCCACATACAGAAAAATATACGAAGGTCTGGGCCGCTCACTAGAGGTATATTGCCTCATAAGTTAGAAAAATCGGTACCACTTTACAATACGACTACCCTTACAAAGGGTTTACGAATAGTTTGTAATACATTTATTAATTAGGTTGTGAACACTTTATAAATCATTAATAAGCTTTTATAAGACATGAGTTAAACAGCCTTATATTGGCTACATAGCTTACTTCGTCTTCTTCATCAGCCAGCATCCTTGGTATCTGTTGCTCACGGAGTTGATTCCCCCCTTCCATCTTTATGTTTCTATGAAAGAGTTACTAACATTTATAACTGCCAAAAGGGAGCCTTATTGTAAAGTGTAAAACCCATTCCCATTTATTTATAATTGGTAAAAGGGAGCCTTATTGTTAAGTTTAATGCATATGTCCATTTATGAATGAGTTATAACATTCACGCTTACCTAATACACATTTTTCACATGAAATGCAAAATAAGATGCAACAGAACCAAGCAAAACATTTTATTCACACATGAAGAAAATCAGGACTCAAAATAATTACTATTTAGTATGACTGATACACAGATTTAAACATAAAAGCTTTTCTCAGACATAAATGAAAGACTTGGTAATACATAATGGCACTTGTGTATATCCTTGAACAAGCATCCAAGCAGTCCATCAGGGTGACCAGAGCCAAGCCAAGATGACCATTCAAGAACCTTATGGTGTTTGTCAACAGGGGGGTGCTAGTGACTTATCCGACCGGCCCACTTCGGTACCGCTAGTAAATTGTCAACGGAGGAAGTGCTAGTGACTTATCCGACCGGCCCACATTATTATATCCTTTATTTAACCAGGTAAAAGACTCATTGAGATTAAAATCTCTTTTCCAAGAGTGACCTGGGCAAGAAGGGCAGCATGTACAAAGTTACAACAGATAAAACACAGACATGACAGGCAGACAAATATAGCTGAAAAACACAAATGAAATGGCACAATAGCCAGTCAATATACGAAGTAAAACAAACTATTAAAAATCATTCAAAACTGGCAAAATTTAAAACGATTTTAGGATATACGAGCCCTTACATCTACCAATGGTGTCGTGTTCTCTGTCCTT